AAAAGGCTTTTTGTGACGTGAGGTTTGACTTTGGATACAAATGGACATTTTAAGTTCAAAAGGAGTGAAGCCAACACTTATGATTACAATTCTGTTTCCTTTCCATGCTTGTTTTAAAAAGGAAGATAAGTCTAGCATGCTTTTCCCAGGGTCCTTCGTAGAGCATTGTGGGATAGCCACTATTTTACTTTGTAGACTGGGGCAAAGCACAGATGAACTGAAGGGGCATTGAAAACCTCAGACAAGTATGTCACTGGTCTAATTCATGTGGGAACAAAAGCTGCTGTTTGAAAAGGTAGCTACAAACACCCTCTTAGTTACTCCTGGCTTCACCGACCTGATAACTCCTGATCCAATCCTGGGCCAAAGAGGCTTAACTCTTTCTTGCCTCCCTGTAACCATCTGTCCTTATACTCAATACTGAATCATACATTTTGACCATAATAGATGGCAGCTCCTCCAGAGACAAGCCTTTTCCCATAGATCCTTGCAAATGTGCCTCAATGGGTTATGTTCTACTAGTGAAACAGATCTGAAACTTGGTAGCTTTAGGGAACTCTCTTCTGACTGGTTTGTTTACTGAAGAGCTTTTGCAACAGAGCTCAATTGTTGCTAAGGTTTCTGGGAAGTGTTCTCTGAATCTCACAATTAATGCACTGCTGATCAAGGGTGGTTTTTTCCCTTTCCTGAACTCTGTGTGCACCCCAGAATGTATTCACCACACTCCAACAGGCCACAAAAAAGGGAATTTTGCCCACTGTTCCCAATCTTCAGTGCTCCAAACCTCATTTCCCTAGCAGAAAGTTCGAAAACCACTGCTTCATATGCAAAAGTGTACATTCTGCTATTAAGCTGTGTGGCCATTCTCCATCCTGTTCCTGAGCAGCAGAGCACTCAACGGCACCAGCAAGCTGTTGCTCTAGCAAACGGCTGGCCCATGAAACCACATTGTGCAGCAATAAACCTGCCTGACTATGCCTTCCTATAAGCTTGAGGCAGCCTTCTTGTTACCCAGAGAGCAAGTCTGGAATTGCTACCCAGTCAGCTGACTGCTCTGCTTGTCGATTGTACTTTTCCTTCCTGCTTTGCTGCTGCTTACTTAAGGCAGGGCCTGGTTTCCTGAGCCATCTTGACTAAGCATTTATATTGGACACAACAGTATAACTAAGTAAGATCGTGAAAGAGGAGTGGCAAAAGCTTGCTTGTTACTGACTGGAAAACTGCCCATCATTATGATAGCCAGAATGCTTATGGACAGAGGCCTGCATATCACAAGTCAGTACATTTTACCCACACTGCAGCTGTGCTCTCATGTGCAATGTTGTTTCTGCAGAGAGGACTGTACCCCACAGATGAACAGTTATGGAGAGACCAGCCCTGGGAAACATTAAAGCAATTATTTTGTGGCCCCAGCCCCCCCCCCCCCAACTTCCATCACATACAGCTAAGTGATTATGCCTGTGTTTTGCTGTTATGCTGTTGAAGTCCTGAGGGAAGCATCATCCTGAAGTGAATGAAAATATTCCTTGAACATTGTTTGGTTACTGCCATCAGATATTCTTTATAAATGTACCTCAAAAAGAGTGCCTTTTCACTTTCAGAAAACGTTTTAAAGTTCTGCTCAAACGTCATGCCACACAACATACAGTGTTGATTGTACACCACAAAAATACACAAAAAGTTCTTGCTAGATGCTACTATTCTGATAGCTTTGACTCACTGTATTGCAAACCAACAGGAAATGTCTGCTGTGCTTGGCCTGTTGTAGCACTTCTGAGATTTAAAAAGACTGTGCAATGGAAGAATTGTTTTAAAAGCTATTGGTATTAAAATACGTTAGCAGCACTGGCCATGATCTGACCACAAAGTAAGATCTTCATAAAAAAACTGAATACCAAACCAAATGTTTAATATGAAACAGCTGTTTTTTTTAAGATTCCTGTCTCAACCAGGAAACACTATCCTGCACTATGACTCACAACTAACACCTATCAGTGAATAAAGGGCTGGGAAAGAACATAAAAAGGAGCATAAAGCTACTCAGGGAGTCAGGGTAAAGAAATGTAGGAGTAATTTTTGTCCTTATCTACATTTTAGGGGAAGAGAGGCTTAAGAATTTTTAAGCTGTGGTATAGCTCAGAAGCCAGGTTATACATGAAGAACTATTCAGATCATTCAGGACATCTTTATCAAGAAATGGGAAAAACAGCATTCTTAATTATGGAGCTGTAGGAACAACTCCATTGTTTGAGGCATTTAGTAGTCAAACCGAATAGATCTAAACTGCACAACCCGTGACAAGCCTATCTTAAATGCAATCCCCCAGCCTTTTATGCAGCTTAGTAGGAGTTTGATCAGGGGGTTTTTTTTGCTGCCAGACTGCAGCAATATTAGAGCTGTCAAGCACTTGCAGGCCACAAGATGGCTGATGGTCTGCATTCAAACTTACTAGCTTGCACATGCCTGTGATAGCAGCAGGTACAGGTATAGACTTGGTGTGTTGGCTGCAATTTTAATTAGAATGTAGACTTTTTAAATATTTAAACAAAGGTTAAATGAGGCTGATCTTGATTTTTGCTTTCTAAAGTGGTGTTCAGGAACATCCATTCTTAAAATTTGTCTGTGAAGTTGTCATCCACTATTCAGTGCTAATCTGTAGAAACTACAGCCACAAGCCACTGAGCTTCCTTGAATGAGAACTGCACCCTCACTCTTGGGTGGCATTTCTACACATTAGCTGTAACCATAGGAGACTGACACGAATTTCAGTGCAAGTCAGTCTAAGCGTTGTTAAAAAAATGTGCATGATCATATAAGAAAAGCATTTTTAGAACTCTGGAGGGTTGATGTTTGCAAGACTCCATATCTGAAAATGGTAGCACCAGGTTCTGAAGCAGGTGACAAAAGGGAGTCCCAAGACAGTAAACAAGTACCACTTGAGTTTAGTTCTCACAGAAGAGTACCTTGCTGCACTTCAGATAAAGTTCTCACGACTGAATTATTCTCCCTACAAAACAGAAGTTCCCTGCAACGCTTCTTACCTTGTCTCCCCCACCTTGCTTTGTGAAGGAATTTTTTAAGGAGACTTCAATCATGAATCTGTAACCTGAAGTGGTAAACCCCCCACCCCCAACAGGTTTACCTCATCAGCTGTTTGCAGACTAGACCTTTAAAATGAGACCAAAAAAACAACACAACCCCCTATATGGGAAAGCACCACAGTATAAGAAACAGAATGTATAGAGTCACAGGTAAATTAACTTGTGCAGGTTGCATGCCATTACACTGTTTTCCCAACCGGAATCAACCGGAAGCTGCCTTAAAATTGGATTCCAAGGAAAAGTAGCCAAACTGCAGCTTGTACTGCACATGGTCTTCAGGCCTGATTATAAACAAACCCAGAACATTAAGTGAAGCAGTTAGGTGAAAGGGAATGTGAGCTTACTGAGAGAAGCAGCTAGTATCACGCCATGGGAGATGGGGCAAGGAAAGAAAAATGGGAAGACTGCTGTGAGAAATACTAGCATTGATAGTGCCATACCTTTGGTAACCAATGCCATGGCAATTTCTTAAACTTCCTTAAAAACTTTTGTATTTCTTGAGTCACTGTGATCCATCTTTACCTTTTCCTTCTAGACAGAATATACAAATAAGCCAACAATTTCTTTTATATTAGTATCTTTGGCTTCTGTAGGTGAAAAACAGCTAAAACAAAGGTTACTCACTCCCTCACCATTGGTGTATACAGGACTGCACCTTGCTAGAGTACTTTGGAACATTCTGGAACATTGTTTATTGGTTTTGGCAGCCTCCCAGCTATTTCTGCAGGAATGGAGCAATTCTTGCAGTTCAAAACCAGGTTAATCTGTAGCTAGACACCATTCTGATAGGGGAAAGCTAATAAAAGAAGCACCACCTTGCAGACATGGCTTTAATAGCTTGGGATTTTTTTTCCTCAAAAGTTTTATTGGGAGAACTACAAAACATTTACAGTACAAAGTTTACAGTCTCACAATCCAAATTTGTAGTGAACTGACTCTCCAAAATATATATTACAACTCAAGTTGACTTATCCTCTAGTTACATTCAAAACATACTTCTGTTAAAGTAGTCCAAAGAGTACATAGTGCTGAACCTGTACCTATGTACATACAAAAAAAAATAAGGTACTGCTCATTCATCCACCCTCCAGGAAAGTTTTGGAAAACCCCTGGCCTTCTACACAAGAAAAATACATATTTTGGAATTTAATTATAAAGTTTCAGATCCAAAAGGTGGTCTCCTTACTTATAAAATGAGTGGTACAATTTTTTGTAGTTAAAAACCCAGCCCTACATTCAAATTCTCAAGCATTAAGAAAAATACTTATTTGGTTGAGGAAGATTTAAGGCAAGCATGGACCCTTATGAAGGCACTGTGAGACATAATACTGGGACCCCCCCCCCCCTTATTGCTACATACTTTGAGACTATCACAGTGTGATTGGTGAAGTTAGGCAACTTGAATACTTTTTGGTTAATTTTAAAAGTTTGAATTAGGTTTGCCACTTTAAATTCTGATTGCAAAGTAGGTTGTTTTTTTAATAGCTTGGACGGGTTACAACCATTGTACATTCTAAAACCCAATGAAGTTTCTCAAACTACTTCCACAGCATTGAGTCAGATTTCTATAAAAAAAGCCAATGCAAATCTTTCAAATTTACGTAAACAAGGAAAGAAATTAATGAAATAAATATTACATACAATCTCTTAAATTAAGAATTTTACTCATTTACAATAAAATAACCAAGTGAAGTTACAAAAAGGCATATATTACTGTGAAAAGAACACACTCCACATTTTGCCGATTAATAATGGCAATCATAATTTAAACATAATAAAAGAATATATATCTATTGCTTTTCATCATACCCGATAAATACAGTATGAACAAATTACCAATGTATACTTTTCACAAGATAATAAATAAGTTAAATAGTTTCATATTTGAGTTGTGCAGTGACTTGCGCAATCAACTCAGACAGCTAAAAAAATTAAAAAATCAGCAGTTATTCGCCAACAATTACAAACTAAACTCAGTTGAATGCTTCCAAATAAAGCAACAAAAATTGTTCTAAGCCAAACATCCACTAAGTGGTGGCAATGGAACCAATATTAAACTTTGGAATGGAAGTTTTAGCATGTTAAAATATATATAGGTATATAAAAAACTAGAGTGTTGTTATCAAGGCATATTCTTGGCAGGATGTTGGATTTTTCTTTTAAAAGCTTATACATTTAGTATATTTAAATTTGATTGAAAGGCAACCCCCCCCTTAAATTATTTTTTGTTATATATAGACCTGGAGGAACCTGGAATGAAGAGTTCATGGGCCTCCAGATTGATTGTTAATCCATGGGGGAGTAGGATTGGGTATATTTGCTAAGGCTCCTTTCACCCTTTGTCTCCTGCCCTCCCCACATAAACATTTGAAGATGGAATGGCTGCTGGTGCCATACATTAAACTAGTCTCCAAAGGGGGAAGGGAAAAAAGAAAAAGAAAAAATCCTCTCCTTCCAAAGTCTTTTTAAGATATAAAAATAGGATTGTTCTGTGATGACATCATTTTCCTTTCAATTTTAACTCTTTTGTTCATATCGTGATAAAAAGAAAAAAAGTTTTTGCTTCCTCGTCTCTTTCTGAATTTGCTCAGCAAAGGATATTTTTCTTTCAAAAAATGCACACTGAAAAGGAAAAAAAAAAAGACTGCAACAAAAAAGAAGGTAGGTATGTGCGAGCTTGGCTAGTTTCTGGCAGCTGTTGCAATCTCTGCTCCTGTTGGAAAGGCAAGGCAAAGAAGAGAGCGGGTAGCTGCCCCCATTGAGGAATGACCCCCAAGAGACCTTACAAATAAAATAAAAAATACACTTGGCGAGGTCCTCAAAGATTTGACAATTCGGGGAAGATTCCCTCGCCCCTCCCACCCCACTTTCTTCTCCTGCCTCCTTAGTCGTCGGAGATGGAAAGGCGGCTGAAAATGGGCAGGCGCCTGCCCGAGTCCAGGCTGGGGGACTCCGACCCGCTGAGGCTGCCGGAGCTGAGGGAGCCGCTCAGGTAACTCTCTCGGTCGGAAAGCGAATCTGGAGGGCTCGGAGGGGCGTCAAACACGGGCGACTCGGAGAGACGCCGCAGAGGCTGGAAGCTGAAGGGGGGCGAGGCGGGAGGGCCGGGCGGCGGGCAGCAATTCCCCCCTCCTCCTCCTCCTTGCTGGTGGCAGCGGTAAAAGGCGGCCGCGTTGGGGAAGCAGCCCGGCTGAGGCGGCGGGGCGTGGAGGGCGAGAGGCGCGATGAGGCTGCCCAGCTCTTGCCCCGCGGAGAAAGCAAAGGCGTTGTTGGCGCAGGACGGCGAGGCCACCAGCTCCTCGCAGTAGGAGCCTCCCGAGGCGGGCGGCGGCGGGGTGCGGGACCCGCCGGGACTCTCCAGGAGTAGCGCCGCCGCCGCCGCCTCCAGCCCTC